AGAGTTTTAGTACAAAAATTTTATTTTTTTTACTATAACTCTGTTTGAAGAAGCAATAAAAAGGTTGTCTCAAACGAAGCCTAAATTAGGATCTCAACTTCTCATCATTCTTATTTGCATTCTTTATTTGTGTTTCTACCAGGTCCAATTGGTGCCTTACAAGCCCAATTTTCTCGATGAATCTGTCCTATGGGCTGAAAGCAGTGACTTGGGCGATGGATTTCGGTGCATAAGAATGGTCAACAACATTAGTTTAAATTTTGATGCATTCAATGGCGATGAGGATCACGGTGGAGTTCATGAAGGAACTGTAATTGTACTCTGGGAGTGGCTTAAGGGAAAGAATCAGAGGTGGAAGATTGCTCCTCACTAATGTAAGTACTTGAGTTGCTTCAGAGCTTTTATTTTATCTTAGTAGCAAGTTGAATGGTGACTTTTTATTTATTTATTTTGGTTTGTTCTGATTGCAGGAGTGTATTTGAAGGTGATTTTCTCACTGTCTGTCTTGAGGCTTTGTGTGTCCTTTTTTTTCAGTATTTGCAGAATAAGATGTGCAGTGGAGTTTGCTTCCCTGCGTTTGTATCTGGTGTGACTTTATGTTTGTTGAACAATATGCTTGTATAATAAAAATATTATTATGTTTTGGTTTGCAGAAAAAATGTTCACGAGTGCATTACACATATAGGAAAGGCGAGATGATGACTTTTTATTTGAAATCTTTGTTGAAGTGCCATTGATTTCAAAAAGTACATGCTTTTCATGTCTTTTGATGTTTTTATTTTAGTCTAATATGAACAAGAAATTGATAAATCATTTTAAAATTGTTTCTATCGGGGCGTAATTCTAAATAATTTTTTTGTAAGAGGGAAACTCTCACTCTAATTATTCTTTATACTGGGATCATTGGTATAAAGGTAAATGTTTTAATGAGATTGTAGCTATGGGTCCTTTCCTTTCTCTGTTTCCTGTTAATGAGAGCATTAAGTCTATTATTGTTAGGGGAAATTGGGCCATTCCTGATTTTCTCCCTACTGTTGTTCATGAGGCTTTCCAGGAAATTAATATTGACCCGGTTACTGATATTAACCTGTATTGGGGGAATGGTAAACAATGCAAGCACAAAGATTTTCGGGTTTTTTTCTATAAAGATTATGAGGAGGTAAATTGGTGGCAATTTGTATGGCACAAAAGAAATGTGATTAGGTACTCTTCTTTTTGTTGGATGGCCATTAAAGGTGGGCTTAAGACTGCTGACAATCTCATTAGAAAAGGCATAAATGTGGATCCCATTTGTGCTCTTTGCCACAATTATAATGAGTCGGCTTCTCACCTTTTTTTCGAATGTGACTACTGTTTCACTATTATTTCTTGCTTGATGAGGAAACTGGGCTTCTTGTTGTTGAGACCTAATCTTATGCAACTTTTTGAATATATTGCTGGGTCACAACATGGTGAAAAAGATTTTTACTATCTCCTGGTATGTTGTTTGGTATATCACATTTGGAGAGAAAGAAATGAGAGGAAATTTGGGACTTCTTCCATCTCGTCTACATCTTTAATTCATAGAATTAAAGGGGCTGTTTTGCCCAGAATTCTGCGCTGGAAAAGGAGGGAAATTTTATTGGATTGCTGTGATTTGTTGCACCTGAGTTTGCTGGTCTCTGATAGCTGTATTGCTGGATGTTTTGTGGGATCCGTCTGGAGATTCTCTTCTAATCTGGTTTTCCTGTGCTCTGATTCGTGCATTGGTGGCAGGTATGGGCGATGATGATGAATTGCCATCTTCCCCTTTGGATGGCAAGGATTCCTCTTGCGTATTTTTGCAACCAGGTTGTGTGGGTGGCAATTCCTGAGTCCAGGTTTGTTACCTGCCACCGGTTGGTCTCGTTTTTTTTCTTTCCAATTTTGAAGGCTTCTATGCTCTGGCCTTTCGTTTACTAGCATTCTGTCTGTTTTTTCAGCATTGGAATTTTTGTTTTTTGTTCCAATGCTGTCTTTTTGCCTTGGGTTTTTGTTTTTCCTTCAGCTTTTACATGTAACTAGTTTTTAGTTATAATGGAAAGGGCTTATTGCCCATAATTTTCCCAAAAAAAAAATTTATACAAGATGGTGGTGAGACTTGTAATGTTTTATGGTAGATAATGTTGGTCATTTAAAGAGAAGTATAAAATTAAATTAAGTGTTGTAGAGATGATGATGCTTTGGTGTTATGAGTGGCTTCATTGTAATAGATAGAATGTGAAATGAGTATATATGTGAAAAAGTTGGAGTGGCTTCAATGACAGATAAGATTAGAGAGATGGTTTGGTTACATAAAATGTTGGCATTTTGATGACTCGATTAGGAAAGTAGATGTATTAAATTTTGGTTTATATTATGAAATGTAGACCTATACCTAAAAAGTTTTTATTAGAAATGATATTTTTTTATTAGATTTAAATGAGAATTTGATTCTTGACATAACACAATGGAGAAAAATGATTTATATAGCCGGTTCCACATAGTGGGATAAAGATTTGATGTTGTTATTATTGTAGCGATTACAATGCCACCAGGAATTATTGATCATTTCTAGCTTAATTTTGCCTTATTATTTTTCTAATTTGTCATTAACTTAATCGACTAGTGATGCGCATTTTACAATATCTCATTTATTCTCTCTCTCCATCCATTCTCCATTCTTCTCGTGTCTGTAAGGTTTTATTTGGGATGGCTTTATTACTTCTTCTTAAAGTAGTTTTTTAGTACAAAAGTTTTTAATTTTTGTACTAGAAAGTTACTTTAAGAAGCAGGAAGAAAGTCGTCCCAAACTAAGCTCAAATGAGTGCATTTCATTTGAAGTGTAGATCAACTTGTATTAACTTTTTTTTTTCCTCTTAATTGAACACTCTTGTATTGAAAAAGAAGGCTGCATTTCTATTATTTTTAAGAAAAAATAAAAAATTGGTGTTATAGAACAAGAATTTGTCTAAAAAAATTATTTTGATGCTTTTAAAGCTATTTAGGACCTCTATTCCCAAGGTTGGATTATTTTCAAGTTTTAAATCGCACAAAAAATCTCTCAAAAGATGTGACACATACTTTCAGACTTCTGGAGTTTTGACGTTCGAAAATAGGGGGCAACTGATATATCATTAAAAAATTATCTTAATCGGACACGAATCTCGAGACAAAATCAAGTTGGAAATTTTCAAAATTAAATATGGGACCATTTGATCGCCAATGTTGGCAAACTTACAGTCAAACTGAACGTCTTAAAAATACAAACCCAATGATACCAAATTCGACTCAATCCAAGCTCAAACAAGTCCAAATCAAATACCCAAAGCACATTTGAAAGGTTTAAACCATAATTTGGATTACCAAACAGTTTCCAAATGTGACATGCTTGTAGTCGAATCGAGCGAATCGATTCGACGAATCCAACGAGCTCAAGATCGCCATATTCTGATATCATTAAGACATTTGAATATCAAGTAAATAGTCCACAATCATGAGAATCAATATCGACCATCCATTAAAACCACTCTCAACGCCCTTGATCTTTCCTTTATTTAATGACCATGCCACTCTTAGAAAATTATAAATAGAACTCTCATTCCTCATGGAAGGTGGAAGGAGGAAGGGGTACCGAGCAAGGAAGCAAGGAAAGATACCAAAATAAAGGGAGGAGAGGAATGAAGCGAAATTTGATATATCTCTTGCCATCGAGATCCTCCTCGACCACCGCTCGGACCTCTACCGGACCATCACTCATCATTGGACTTCCGTCAGACTTCTGCCCGACACAAGAATTTAGTCCATCGTCGGACTTCCATCAGTCACCGTCGGACTTCTGCCCAGCCACCGACTGATGCCAGACTTCTGTCTGACCACTAACTAACATTACACTTACACCCGACTTCCAATTATTGTTGGACATACACCAAACTACTAACTAATGTCAAACTTTTGCTCGGTCACCAACTGTCACTCAACTTCGGCCTTTCCGGCCACTGTCGTCCCTCAACTACAGTCCTTCCGACCTTCATCGTCATATTATAATATTTCTGACTAATGTCGTCTATCGACAACGGTCCTTCCAACCTCCGTTCTCAGAATACAATCTTGTAGACCTCCATCTCCATAATACAATTTTTATGACCACTATCGACTGTCAACTACAAACTTTCTATTGTCATAATATGGTCCTTTCAGCCTCTGTCACCAGATAACGGTCTTTCCGATCTCTGTCGCTAAACAACGGTCTTTCTAACCTCCGTTGCTCGTCGTCTTCGGTCCTTTCGACCTCCGTTGCCAGACAACAATCTTTCCGACCTCCATCACCCGCTGACTACGGTCATTCTGGCCTCCGTCGCCTATTGACTATGGTCATTCCGACCTCCATTGCCATACAATAGTCTTTTTTACCTCCATCGCCTGCCGACTACTGTCCTTTTGAATTTTGTAGCCCGCCAACTATAGTCCTGCTGACCAAATGAACATATCAATATTGATTCTTCCAATTTTCATCATATAATGCATTATATATGATGTATTTGATACATCAAGCCAAGGCTTTCCCTCTAATAAAGGGTCTCATTTATAATTTACTACAAGTACTAGTGGATTCATTCAAATTAGACTAGGCCTCGTGTGTTTTTCCCTTTCAGACTTTTCCACATGAAAAATTTGATGTTTTTTGTAAATGCTACACCCTCCATTTTTATCTGATTGTGTGCTGGATCTTCGTAGAAAGCTAAGACGTTAAACTATACATTTCTCTACCACTGTGAATATTTCAAGGCACAACCGTTCTTAAATATCATATTTTAAAATATATAATAGTCAGATGTAAAAAAAAAAAATTGCCACAAACTTTGTTTTAATATTCTTCATCTACTATTAAAGTAACTAAGTACTTATTTGGCCCTACAATGAACTTTTATTTGGTTCGGTGAACGTACGCTCCTCTACGTTCGGCCACCAACAGGGGCGGAACTATAATGTGCTTAGGGGGGGCAATTGCCCCCCCCCCCGACCCGACCCGCTTTTTTTTGGGTTCTAGCGCGTGCGTTTTTTTAATTCCTTGACGAGCCGAACAACATCCCATCACCTTTTGGATATATTTCAAATATCTAGCAAATACCGAGTTGTACCTAGTTTTTTCTACCAATACCGAGCAAATACCTAGCAATACCGAGCAAATCCCTAGCAATATCGAGCAAATCCTAAGCAAATATTGAGTTGTATCGAGTTATACCTAGTTTTTTCTAGCAAAACCGAGCAAATCCTTAGCAATACCGCGCAAATACTGAGTTGTACCGAGTTGTACCTAGTTTTTTCTAACAATACCGAGCAAATACCTAGCAATACCGAGCAGATCCTTAGCAATACCGAGCAAATTCTGAGCAAATACTGAGTTGTACCGAGTTGTACCTAGTTTTTTCTAGCAATACCGAGGAAATACCTAGCAATACCGAGCAAATCCGTAGCAATACCTAAGCAAATCCTGAGCAAATATCGAGTTGTACCGAGTTGTAGAAAAACTCGGTACAACTCGGTATTTGTATAATTTTGGTCTTCACAGAGCGGTATTTCTCGTTTTTGCAAAGCAATACCGAGCAAATACCGAGCAATACCGAGAAAATCGCGAACATAGCATTCCCGGGTTCCACTTCGGGTCAAGTCGTCGGGCCGCGCGGTAAAGAGTAAGAGCACGTGGCGATATATTATTGGCGGCCGAACGTACCTCTACGCCAGGTCAGAGGACGTAATAATTGTTCCCCTACAATAGTCGTGGGCCGTGTTTCTTATGAAGGATTGTCTTCAATGGGCCTACATTGCCACATTTCCTATGGACGTCTATCGAAATTCTTAGGGCTTCGTAGGCGAGTGAGCACGGGAAGAAGGCGAGGAAAAATTAGGAGTCGAGGTTGACATGGAGAGCTTCCCCGTCTACTTTCAGCAGGATTCTCCGCTTCTTTCGCAGTCGCAGATTCGGCAGCAGCAACTGCCGCCTCAGCCACAACCACCGCAGCCGCCGCCGACGATGTCCGATACAAAAGAAGCACCAGAGGGGACCGTAGCTACTCTTCTGGTTCGGCATTTACCGGAGGGAATCCCCGATGATATGCTCTCGCGCCTGTTCTCTCACTATGGAGCAGCCTCAGTTCGGCCTTGCGCAGGTGGGAGGTATGAACCTTTTCGTCAACTTTTTGTCCATCTTCTGCATCTCATTTTAATGAAATTATGTTTGCTGTAAGCCATGCCTACGAAGCTAATAGCTTTGCAGTTATGATACAATAATTTGAACCGATGTTTTGGTGTAGAACTTTGCAATTCTCTCAAATAAATCTACTCTCGAAATGGAGACAAGCCAACTAACTTCAATGGGCTATTTGGCTACAAGTAGAATTTGATGAATCCTATTCATTATTCAAGTAGGATTTACTAAAGCCTGATAGTAGAAATCGTTAGGATTGTTTGGCTGTCCAATTCTTAAATCCTGTGAAATCCGTTGGCTGTTTGGTTGAAGTTTGTAGGATCTATGGTTTTAAAAGAATTGAATATTTTTTATTTAAAATATTTCAAATTACGGAAAACTCCATGAATCATACTAATCTCTTAAACCAATGTGATTCATTTACAGTACTTAACACATAGATCTCATTCACAATGAGTAGCATAATCTATACAACATAATAATTACATGTACATAACAAGGAAAATCATATAAACATTTTGTATAGAAAGAAAGATAGTGAGACACAATGAAAGCACTGGGATAGGTATGATGAGGAAACTCGTGAGGGGAAAAGGGCGAGAAGGAAAGTGCAGCCCGCCAAGAGGGAGCATGCTAATGGAGATAATATTGCTCATATCCTTTAAATTATAGTTTTACTGAGATTTGATGATTGTGTTTGAACCAAGATTTAATAAATCCAATAAAGGCTTCGTTTGGGATTGTTTTTTTATTGCTTCTTAAAGTAGCATTTTAGTACAAAAATTTTAATTTTTGCTCTAGAAAGCTACTTTAAGAAGCAGGAAAAAAGTTGTCCCAAACGAAGTCTAAATCATTGGTTTATTTTGCTGCTGCTTTTTGAGATATTTATAAACCATGTAAAAAGCTTTAGCCCAAGTATTGCCTAAATCTCATTTAAAAGGGGCAACCAAAGAACTCCTGAGGATTCTTATAATAATATATTTTGGGGTTGTTTGGTTGTCAGTTTCAAGTCGGATTTAGGGTGGATTTAGCCTAATTCTCTCAAACAATTTATAAGGGCTTTCTAAATCCTGCCAAAAGTAAATCTTATATTTAACAAAATTTGATAAATTTTGGCTTAAATGCTGGATTTATCAAATCCTGGTAAATCTAAGATTTCAGGAGTTTATTTCAACATGATTTACTAAATCTCTTTACATTCTGAAATCTTTCAATCTACAACCAACCAATCTAGATATTTTATTTGACTTAAGAATAGGGCACTCCAATAGTTATACCGCTAGAATGGGCTAACTTGTATTAAATTATAAATGAATATACTTTTTCAATTCCAGATTTATTAAATCATGCTTTCAATTAAGCTAAATTAGAGATGTTTTAAGGATTTTCATATTTGGATTAAACACATTATATGTAAAATACCTTGTCTTAGACAAAAACCATTAATTTGATAAATGACTTTAATATCTTTTATTTGAATAATAAATCTTGTATCTGATAAAAGCTTATATAGAGGTAAAAATAATTATATTTTTTTAACCTTTATATCTAGCTTAAAACTGTTCAAATAAATTGTCTTTTTTATGATAAGATAGCTTGCCTTTGGGATGAGAATTTTATATCTATAAAAATAGTCCAAAAAAGATTCTTCCATTTTTTTAGAGTGTTCATTAATGCTTTTGATGTCGTCATTCTAAATGTGGATCTATTTGGGTGTGTAACAGTACTCTTTTGAGTAATGAGGTTGTTTTTAGGATTGAGAATGGTGTCTCGTTGTTTTAAGTTTTGAAATTTGAACTAATCTTATGTTAAACTGATTGCTTGTTATCCTTATTACTCTCTGTACAAGCCTTTATTATTAGGCACTTATGCTTTTGCTTTCTATTTTTTATGGTAGTTTACGAAATTGTGCCTTCGTGGATTTTAAAGATGAAGCTTTAGCATCTCAGGCGCATTTGCAGCTTAACCGGTACGTCTCTTGAATTTGATCATTTCACTTTGGCCAAAGTTATTTTTTTATTTTCAAGGGCCTTGTAACTAGTTGCACGCAATGATAAAATAAAACATATTTTGTGGCCACATTTTGATTCTTTCATTGTTATTATCATTTTTTTTACTGATGTATTGATTGGTAATTCATTATTTTCCTGAATCTCGTCTGCCTTAAAATCAGTTTTCTGAAAATCTATCTATATTTTCTTTTCATCATTAATTTTATCCAAAATGTTTGTGGACTATTTACATATGTGCTTCATTTTACCTGCGAACACCGTACATCAATTATTTGGTATTTAATTCCTCACAATTTGTTACTTGGTAATATCTCAGATTGAGATTTCTAGGAAAGGTGCTGACAGTTGATCGTGCTGATAAGGCTACTTCAAAAAACATGAACCCCAAAAGTGTAGGACTGTCTTTGAAGGATGCTTCTGGTACATCCATGCTAACAACTAAAGATGCTTTTGTTCATCCCAAAAGCATGAAATTTGGTGGTGAGCCAATAGCTCCAAGACTTGGTGTTGATTACCCCTTCCCTCCACATCTCGAGTATGTTCTCATGTTTTTCTACCACCATGTATGCCTGTGTCCTTTGATATCATTGTTTTTCCTGCTTGATTTCTATTTTTTCAGTATAATATCTGGTGCCATGATAAGCTACTCATTTTTGCCTAAGATTATAATGTTTTTCTATGGTATAACTTTTTTGTTTTATAAATATAAAGCAAACTGGAAGATGACAATATTACTTTGGATATGCATGTTGATCTTTGTTTGCATTTCATGACCGATTAGAGTAAGGGTGACAAAGACAATGATTGAGTATTGTGACTGAAGCCAATCAAACATTGTCCACTCATAAAATGAACTACTTCGACATTTCCAGGGCGTTGAAAATACTAAGGAAAGTACCTTACCTCTCATGATCGAATGCAAGGAAATGATGGACTACGGACTTGATGTTGTCTAAAAGTTGTCCGAATTTTGCCCGTTTGCAAAAAAGTCTGTGTTGACGTGTTGGAAATGTCGAATTTAACCCAAAAAAGCATCTCGCGCACACTATGAGTAAGCACTGTGAAAATATTGGAATACTGACATGACATCTCAAGAAAACTGCTTATTTAGAAAACAAATTGCATCAACATGTCTGAAACATGGAAATTACCTGAAAATGTCATTCATGTCGTTTGAGTAGCCACATAAAGGCAAAAAATAACACGTAATTTTGAGATAAAATTTGCTTGCATGCAAGACAACAATACGCAATTTTGGGACACACAAGCGACAAGAAATTTGTTAGAGAAAATTAAAATATACATGCATATGCGTGTGTGTATAGTTAGTTATTTGAAAAAAAAAAATCAAATCGCTTCAAATTCCTTCCAAACTTTCAGATTTCTCGCTCATTGTATATGCTCGTTTATTCGGCATGCAGTTTCTTCTCATCCCATTCACACCAATTTCAAAAAATTAAAAAAAAAAACATGACTAGTATCTCAAGATTCGCTATACCATTTGGTCTCTTGCATCTTCTGAATCCCAAGCCTCTCCTCTTCTCCCTCACACAAGGCTATAGTTGCTTCCAGCATTCCCAACACCACTTTGGCCAACTACCACCTACCTCCTTCATCACACAAGCTAAACCCACTTATACCAACTCTATCCTACCTTCTCTCTTCTTTAAAACCCCAAATCCACTGCACCTTTTATGCTCTATCCCCACCAGCTCCACCTCCTCCTCTTCCTCTTTGTTGCACGACACCCAGGCTAAGCCCAAAGATCTTTAAAACTCTCTCTTCTATCATGTTTTTCTAATTCAAAGTTATCTCCAGGAACTCTAATCCCAACACCCTTCCAACTCATGAGAAAATTTCCAAATATCCCTGAATTAGTCACCACTTCCAAGGGCTCTAAGAGGAATCACTTTCATTTTTCACCATCATTGTTTACTTCGACTTCTGAATTTGGTGGCTTTAAGAAGATACTCTTTAAAGTCTACAACATCATCATCCATCCCATCTCAGGTGAGAAGACCCGAGTGTTGCATTTTTATTTCTATTTTTTCTCTTCCCATTTGTTGTAGAAAAGTTACTCTTATCTTCTCTAGTGCAACCTCTCCTTATATCTTCTCTTATATCCCTTCTTCCTTATATCTTCTCTTATATCCCTTCTTGGCATTCTGGAAAGCTCTCTATGCACCATAAAGTTTTTTAACATAATTTATTTGATGATATAGTGGATATTTTTTCTTATTCACACTAGCAGTAGATGTAGGTATGTGTACCAAATCATTATAATCTCTATTATTTTATTTTCTATAATATTCTCTCTCTGCCTCATCATGTAGTAGATTTATCACAATACTTCCTCCTTTGTTTCTATGTAACCCCTCCCAAACATGTCTTTCTCCATCAACAATTTTTTGACATTGTTAAGTGCCTCATTCTATCCATCAATTTTAAAGATAGTACTCATTAATGGTTTAATTCTCTTCTTGTAAATGACGTTCACTTATTCAAGAACATTTTACTAGGGCCACTCATGAGATTACATATAGCAATAAGCCTTTCGCCTTGTTTTTTTTTTTTTTGTCCTATTGCCTAGTAATTTTCAAGTTCTCTATTTCCAATAACCCTTTTGTGACTATGGAGGAGCTATTTAAAGGCACCTAGTTTGTGAGTGTGAGTTTTACTCCTAAGAATGCCCCAATGTTATTGACATGGTCCCAACAGGTGTTGGAGCTAGTGGGAGGAGTCAAGACAGATGTTGAGTCCATTCATAATGAGTTTTGAAGTTAGCAAAACAAATGTGTAGTTGGTGTTGGGTGATAGGCCGATAGGTATTGGGCGCATGTTTGCCAATAGGTTGATGACGATGGGGATCAAAAACAATGGGTCCATAGATGGAGGACAACACACTACTTGTTGGGATAAATTTCCTAGCATCTTAATTTAGACATAAAGGCCCCATCTTGAAGAGTATTTCAAGGTTGTTCTAGGGGTTGTTGATCATTCATTAATGTTTTATGATGATAAGATGGGAACGGGTATTTGGTGGAGAACACAACAACAATTGAAAAAGGCTCACACGAGAGAAGAGTGGGGAGGAGAAAAAGACTTGTACATCATACAGCGTAATGATCGTAGTGTTTAAAAACTTTGAGTGGCTTTGCTTGGGAGCAAGGTCAAAGACATTGGATAGGAAGCTAATGAGTCTTTGATAACAAGTGTGCATTGGTGCTATCGACACATGCAGCCGTTGCATGCGTTGGACGAATTTGGGTGGTAGGATGCGTAGTTGAATGGAACAAGTCAACAATACTCGAAGACGGTGAAAGTGAAGATTTTGAGGTGATATATCAGTTAGTGAAAGGATGATAATGAGTTGGAGGATAATGGGTCAAAGGATGTGCAAGATAGGTGTGTGTTGATGATTCATATGTGTGTTGACAAGCCATGTCCGTGTCGACATGTTGAGTAATAACTTAGTGGGCCACTAAATTGATGATTGGTCTCAAATGGTTGGAGGGCCGAAATGTGTCGGGTGGTCAAATGAACCACACATGCCATATGATCTTATTGATGGATAAGATATTTTGGTCGTTGGGTTACCATAGTGGGGTAAATTATGATGGGAGAGGATTTATGTTTTGGAGTATCAGATAGATCTAGATCATCAAAACAACCTGGAATATATAGAGCTAACCCTTAGTGGATCTAAAAAGAAGTCGATAGTGCTGCTTGAGGCATAGAACCTATTCTTCGTAAGCCAATTTGAACAAGTTTTATCCATGTTAAGTTAGGTTCACCATTTTTTGCTTCCTAATTTATTATGCTATTTTTATCTAGTTGTCTTAATGGTATATTTTCTGCACTTTGTTGTGCATGCCGCCCTAAATTTGTCATTTAATTTCAATTTATTTTTTTTAATAGAGACAACTCCAAGTATTCCTTTCATATAGTTATTCTTTAATTTATCCTTTTTAATTTTGTCACACATTCATCTTAAACATTTATTATTCTGGCACGATCAACTTCGATATCAATACCTTTTTATATTTAATGAAATGTTTGGATTAGGTTTACTAATTAATCATATCATGCTCGTTACTTCTTTTATAACTTGAAAATTTTAAGATATAGTAATGTGATGCACATTAGGTCTATTGCACATGCATATATTTGCCGTAGAATGTTCCTGTATCATTTTCATTAAGGATTTGCTATATATGCAGGATTTTTCCAAGCCATGGAGGTAGCTGCTTTTTGTTTTTGTATCCTATGCAGTTTATCTTCCACACCCAACTTTCATCAACCATAAGTAGCTTGATATATTTCTGTGTTGTTATTGCTATTTTTTTTGTTTTAATTCTTAGGCTTTTTTTACAATTGGTTGCATGTTATTCAATAAACTCTCAGAGTGGATTGTTATAAAAGCTGACAATCAATTGCACCCTTCAATAAGATATATTTATTTGTTTTATTTGGAATACCTTGTTCTTCCTCTCCTATATAGGTATGCATATCCCCCACCAGACGGAAATATACTGACCAATATTGTCAATGCCCTCATTGCTGTCCCCCATTTTTATACGCAGGTTTGAAGTCTTTTCAACCAATACAGAAATTTATTCATCTTTAACACAATTAAGGAACTTTTCTCATTTGCAGGTTTTGCACTTGATGAACAAAATGAATCTTCCTGCTCCATTTCGTATGGCACTTCCTACCCCACCCTTACCTCCTCCAGTACCTGCTCCGCCGCCTCCACCACCCCCATTTACACCAAAGCCTCAATCGGTTGATCTCTCAAGCAGTGAATCTGAATTGGAGTCATCAGAGGTATTTTCTCGTGTGTTTGATACGCATCATTGTTTATCCTTTACGAGGTATTTTTCTGTGTGCTTTTTGCTAGGAGGATGCTGATGATGGCCATGCTCATAAACGGGCTAAAAGGGAGGCCATTGTTGGCCCTGCAGTTGATAAATGTGTAGAACATGTATCTGTAGGACTGAAACCTGCTGCATTGGTTCCAAAAGAAGTTCCAGTGATAAAGAAGAAAAACCCAGTGCTACAGGTTGGACTATAATCCATACAATATCTTAAATTTGGATGCTTTTATCGTGATATTTTGTTAAACTTTTTTGTGCTTGATTTTCCTGCAGATAAAGATCACTGCTAAGCCAGCACAAAAGGATATAGCCGAAGATGACGTCAGGTTCAGTGAACCTACAGAGACTTCAAATGCAGGAAAATCCTATTTAACCGCAGAGGAAATAGGCAGAGGGAAGATTCCACCGGAGGAAATACTATCACTTCCTATGTTCAAGGCATGGAAAGTTTTTTGAATTTCTAGAAGCTTCTTCACTTATAAAATTAAACAGAAAGTCAGATAAAATTTCTGCAAAATTTTTTTCTACATAGGTTTACTTTTTTATGTGTGGATGTCCTCCCCTGGCTATATATATATATATATATTAACCAGTATCATTATACTTGATCTAAGTTATGAGTAACTTGTATCATATTTAATATACTGTAAACCCTGCTTTTGTAGAACTACGCCACTGGGAACCCTGCCACTGTCCTTTACATCAAGAACTTGGCAAAAGATGTGGTGGTCGATGATTTCTACTTCATATTTGGTATGTTAGATGTCAGAAAAGCACTTTAAAAAACTGAAGTTCTATCATCATTTCAGCACATTTGTCAAGCATACGTGCATTTATTGTACTTGCAGGTTCACTTTTTGAAAGTGTAGAGGCTACCAAGTCTAATCTTAACATCAAGCTGATGCAGGTCTGATTTTTAGATTGATCTTATCCAATTTATTTCAAATTGCACATGATTCAATATGAAACAACATTACAAATACCTTTTATACCATACAAACTCTCATTTACATTTTTGAGTCAGCTCTACATTTTACTACTAAGCATTAGAAATATCTGAACTTCCTGTAATGACATTTATGATTCTACCTCTTGAACAGTATGAATGTATGATTAAATTAAAGTAGGGCAACATGAAGTTGTTTTTGTATGTGCTCATTTTAAAACAGATAGTATCATAAGGATGTATTTACCTTACGGAAATTAATATCTGCTATACGATAAGCATAAATATTCTATAGAGGAAGATAATTTTTGTAAAATTGCAACCAAGATTGTTATACTATATGAATCTCAAGTGTTATGCAACAAAAAATCTCTAAGCATAGTTGAGTGGCAAAAAAATATAAAGATCAATGTGTGGTTAAATTAGAATGATAGATTTAGAAAATATTATATTAGAAAGGTGAGATTGCATCTACTCAAGATAATGTAATGTTAATTAAAGTGTTTGGATATGTAAAAAAGATTTCAAATTTTACACCAATAAAGCAAGTGTATAAATCAATGTGTAATGATTTGTAAGCTGAAGCGGAAGATATGAGTTAACATGGTTAGTTGTACAAATTGTTTTGCATGAAGAAGTTGACGCATGATTTAACACATGATAGGAATGAATGGAGAATCTGATTCAAAAAGACAATCCATATTTAGGATAAGGCTAAAGTTGATGATCATATGAGAATTTAAGCAAGCTTTGTATTGTTTGATAAATAACTCTGAAGATTATGCTGCAAAGAATCTAAGATGTTTGCAGTGATATACTGTCAGTAACAACTAACAATGAACCGGCTCTGTTATTAAAAGAATAGGAAACGTTCATTTTTTCAACTAGGATATATTCATTTGACAATTAGGTAACAAAAAAGTTTGATAAATGAAAATAAGAATGTTTCAAACTAGGTGGTGGAAAACAAGTTAAGATATGAACGAGAATGTAGATGGATGTTTTTCAAACAAGGATGGCGTTAAAAAATATTATTGATGGATGTGAGATAAGAGATTATCATGGCAAACATTGGATAAGAGAATATTATAACGAGTTAAAGGTAATTTATGAAAAAACAATTGTATTAACTATGATATATGGATGACAATATGACAATAAAAAAACCATGTATCATGTTGTTGAATAAATCAAAAGAAGAATGATTTATCTGAACTTTGATTTACTTATTTTCATTTTTCAGGAGGGTCGAATGAGGGGTCAAGCTTTTGTGACATTTCCAACTATTGATCTTGCACAGTGTGCCTTGGTATGTTTTCATGTTGATTGAACTCATAATATGCCTTTTGTTTTTGTTTGATAAAATAGGCATATCTCATTCTTTCTTGCTTAAACTGGTGTTAAGAAGAAATTAGAGAACACATGGAGAGGATTGCAATTTTTTTTTTGTAGTTTCGTGAAGAATAAGTTAGGTTGTTGAACTCAAATTGATGTTTTTTTTTTTAATATCCTTGCAGAATTTAGTGAATGGATATCTGTTTAAAGGCAAACCAATTATTATCCAGTTTGGCCGAAGTCCTGTCAAAACAAGCTTAGATTGAATTGTCTGCAAATGGTGGCATACTGGCATATTAACATTGTTTGTGCGCTCAGGTGTTATTACTTTAACCGAATAATTACTAACCTTTCATATTATTAAAAACATGAAGTTCTACCCCTAACTTTTTCAGCCACATCAGAAATTTGATTTTGGAGAAGTATGGCAAACATTTTTGGAAGGACACACCAAAGATGGAAGTTTTCAATGTCTGCGTGCTTGATCAAAGGTAGGTATATGTTAATTTATCTTTCATATATTTATGATAAAAGTCCCTATCTAATTCCTGTTGGTTGAACATGTCGCCTTGTATAATTTCTCTTATTATCACTCAGTTGTTTTTAAATCTTTTACAACTTGCTTTTGCCACAGTTCTTTCAAAATTATTTTCTTACAATTGTGAAAAGATTACAAGGTTATCCTTGACATTTTATTTTCAGAAAGTTAGAAATGTAAGTTTCTAAAAAAGATAAAAGGGGAGTTGCTTGTAATTAACTGAAGTGAATTTGAGGAGTTATCTTCTAATGGATTAAAATTTTGGGACTTTGAGAAATGGCAGGTAAAGATTTGTTGAACGTTAAATAGTTTTGGATGTGTAGCTGTACCATGTGGAAATGTTGTCTTGTACATATACATGTATTTATGAAAGGTTAGCATATTGCCTTCTTGACTTTTCAATTAATTTTTTATTCACTTTTATCCTTACTTTTGGAATTACATCCACATTTCTTCGAGACTAGTCATAGAGAGTTTAAATGTTATTCTTTTAATAAATTAAAATAACATCTTAATGTTCTTCCAAGTGATTGGATTAGAAACTCTTGTGCATCAGCGCTTCATCAATCATAAAAATTATCATGATTGTATGATAACTGTTATCCAAATATTCTTTTGGTCCAATTTTTTTAATCATTTCCTGTTTGTTTTATTTTAGCACTGCCATTATTAGGTTCAATTCTTGGGTGAGGAAATTGGAGAGTTGCGTTAGCTAGTTGACAACTAACATAAAATTTATCAAATAATCATGACATGAATCCTGTTTGTTTTAATCCATATTATTATTATATCTTCTAGCACGCATTATATTTGATAAAACTTTTTAAATCTATTTTTTAGCATCTTATTTTCAATAAATTATTATACGGACATTGGCTCTTCAATAGAATATTTTTAAATTCTATATCTTATTTTGAACATGACGATCTACATTCTCATATATGATGCACCAAGACTTCTCCTTAAGGAGATATTCAGGGTTCAATATATGTCGAAAACTAACACACATTGGACAAGCAAAGATACAATTGATCCTCAATTCGAGAGGAGGATCGATCTCTCCCAAATCTCTAGGCGCCGCTAGAGCCCAAAGAAAACCTAGATCTAAGAGATCTCAAATTTCAGCCAAATTCAAGATATTCAAACCCTAGGAAAACCATCTATTTAATGGTACAAATCAAAAGGAATTCCCTAAACAGTCCCTACATTCAAGTTTCTCTCTTAAACCTCCAAAAAATCCTTCCTAAAACACTCCCGTGGAGCTTGCGTGCGTGCGGCTGACGGAAGAGGCGGAGACGTTCGCTCCTTCTCCGCCTGGACCGGTCCATTGGACCGGTCTAACATGTATTTACCTTACGGAAATTAATATTTATAATATAAAACTTTTGATCCGCTATATGATAAGCATAAATATTCTATAGAGGAAGATAAATTTTGTAAAATTGTAACCAGATTGTTATACTATATGAATCTCAAGTGTTATGCAACAAAAAAATCTCTAAGCATAGTTGAGTGGCAATATATATATATATATTAGAAAGGTGAGCTTGCATCTACTCAAGATAATGTAATGTTAATAAAAGTGTTTGGATATGTAAACAAGATTTCAAATTATACACCAATGAAGCAAGTGTATAAATCAATGTGTAATGATTTGTAAGCTGAAGCGGAAGATATGAGTTAATACGGTTAGTTGTACAAATTGTTTTGCATGAAGGAGTTGACGCATGATATAACACATGATAGGAATGAATGGGGAATCTGATTCATAAAGACAACCCATAGTTAGGATAAGGCTAAAGATGATGATCATATGAGAATTTAAGCAAGCTTCTGATACGAAATACTTGTAGATCTCAAGTATTTTCTATCAATATTCGAAAAACAACGAGCTTCTACACACAAAAAAAAAAAAACCACGAAAACAGTAGATATTTGTATTATTTGATGAAAGGGAAACGGAAAATAGCAAGATACAATTGATCCTCTATTCGAGAGGAGGATCGTTCTTTCCCAAATCTCTAGACGTCGCTAGAGCCCAAAAGAAACCTAATTCTAAGATATCTCAAATTTCAACCAAATTCAAGATGCCCTAACCCTAGGAAAACAAAATATTTAATGCATCCAAATCAAAAGGAAATCTCTAAACAGTCCCTACATTCCCTCCTAAACTTTCTCAAAATTCCTTCCTAAAACGGCTCCCGTTGGCCTGCGGCTCATGCGCCTTGTACAGGAGGCAAAACTTCTCCACCCTTTGCGCACGGTTCGGTCCCGTCGGACCTGTTGGACCGGTCTAACAGCTTCCTATTTTTTGATAAATAACTCTGAAGATTATGCTGCAAAGAATCTAAGATGTTTAAGGCTAAAGTGATATAATGTTAGTAACAACTAACAATGAACCGGCTCTGTTATTAAAAGAATAGGAAGCGTTCATTTTTTTCAACTATGATATATGGATTTGACAATTAGGCAACAAAAAAGTTAGATAAATGAAAGAAGAATGCTTCAAACTAGGTGGTGGAAAACAAGTTAAGATATGAACGAGAATGTAGAGGGATGTGTTTCAAACAAGGATGGCGTTAAAAAGTATTATAGATGGATGTGACATAAGAAATTATCATTGCAAACATTGAATAAGAGAATATTATAACCAGTTAAAGGTAATTTATGAAAAAACAATTGTATTAACTATGATATATGGAGGACAATATGACAATAAAAAGCAATGTATCATGTTGTTGAATAAATCAAAAGAAGAATGTTTTATCTGAACTTTTGATTTACTTATTTTCATTTTTCAGGAGGGTCGAATGAGGGGTCAAGCTTTTGTGACATTTCCAACTATTGATCTTGCACATCGTGCCTTGGTATGTTTTCATGTTGATTGAACTCATAATATGCCTTTTGTTTTTGTTTGATTAAATTGGCTTTGTCATTGGTTCTTGCGGAAAATATGATGTGTTGCAACTTGCGCTAGTCCCATGCATTGAAATAGCTTCGCAACCTCAATCTTTTAAATGTTAGTGCGTGCACAAGAGTATACTTTGCCTTGACAGCTTAATATGGATGGTCGACCTGTATCAGAACAAAATGAATTACAAGCAGTGTTTGCCTTATCTTAATAATGCTCTAGCTGATCTCATTCTTTCTTGCTTAAACTGGTTTTAAGAAGTAATTAGAGAACGCATGGAGAGCATTTGCAAAAATTTTTGTAGTTTCGTGCGGAACTAGTTGTTGAACTCAAATTGATGTTTTTTTCATATCCTTGCAGAATTTAGTGAATGGATATCTGTTTAAAGGCAAACCAATTATTATCCAGTTTGGCCGAAGTGCTTCTGTCAAAACAAACTTAGATTGAATTGTCTGCAAATGGTGACATCTTAACATTGTTTGTGCGCTCAGGTGTTATTACTTTAACCGTATAATTACTAACTTCTCATATTATTAAAGACATGAAGTTCTACCCCTAACTTTTTCAGTCACATCAGAAATTTCATTTTGGAGAAGTATGGCAAACATTTTTGGAAGGACATCACCAAAGATGGAAGTTTCCAATGCCTGCATGCTTGATCAAAGGTAGGAATATGTTAATTTATCTTTCCTTTACTCATGATGAAAGTCCCTATCTAATTCCTGTTGGTTGATCATGTCGCCTTGTATAATTTCTCGTATTATCACTCAGTTGTTTTTAAATCTTTTACAACTTGCTGTTGCCACAGTTCTTTCAAAATTCTTTTCTTACAATTGTGAAAAGATGACAAGGTTATCCTTGACATTTTATTTTCTGTAAGTTAGAAATGTAAGTTTCTAAAAAAGATAAAGGGGAGTTGCTTGTAATTAACTGAAGTGAATTCGAGGAGTTATCTTCTAATGGATTAAAATTTAGGGACTTTGAGAAATGGCAGGTAAAAATTTGTTGAACGTTAAATAGTTTTGGATGTGTAGCTGTACCATGTGGAAATGTTGTCTTGTTACATATACATGTATTTATGATGAAGGTTAGCATATTGCCTTCTTAACTTTTCAATTAATTTTTTATTCACTTTTAGCCTTACTTTTGGAATTACATCCACATTTCTTCGAGACTAGTCATAGAGAGTTCAAATGTTATTCTTTTAATAAATTAAAATAACATCTTAATGTTCTTCCAAGTGATTGGATTAGAAACTCTTTTGCATCAGCGCTTCATCAATCTTAAAAATTATCATGATTGTATGATAACTGTTATCAAAATATTCTTTTGGTCCAATTTTTTTAATCATTTTCTGTTTGTTTTATTTTAACACTGCCATTATTAGTTCCAAGTCTTGGGTGAGGAAGTAGAGAGTTGCGTTAGGTAGCTGACAACTAACATAAAATTTATCAAATAATCATAACATGAATCCTATTTGTTTTAATCCATATTATTATTGTATCTTCTCTATCAAACATTATATTTAATAAAACTTTCTAAATCTATTTTTCACCATCTTATTTTCAATAAGTTATTATGCATACATTGTCTCTTCAATTTAATATTTTTAAATTCTATCTTATTTTCAACATAACGATCTACATTCTCATCTATGATTCACCCATTCTCATCTATGATTCACCCAGACTTCTCCTTGAGGAGGTATTCAGGGTTCAATATATGTTGAAAACTAAAACACATTCGACATGCCTCTATCACATGGTTAAGATGTATCCGATTAAAATAATACTTATAAAAAATCAAGCCTGCATATCCTAAATATTTTATGAAAAAATTATGTTTGAATATAACTTTTCTATTTTAATTTTTATTTATTAAAACGAATTAAATTTCTTATTTATTTCCAGAGCACTAAATCAATTTCTCGCACGTAATACCTATCCCTTGAACCTTTTCATTTTTATTTCTCTCTAGCAGGTCACAACGACAATGGTGTTTCATCGAGGCCTAACAATGTCTCAACATTGACGTCTAAAACCACCTTGAAATCAACATTCAATGTTGTCTTACGTTGCAATTTCTCCATCCATAATCACACCCATGTGTCGTCTCGACATATCATCTTTGTCCAACGTCATATCAACATTGACGGCTGATGCCATGTCGACAAGGACATCCAATTTGTAATGCATGACATTGACACTCGAGTCTTGACAACGTTAGATATTCCCCTCTCGACGCATGACATCGATTTCAGATTCTCAACATTATAATAATAGTTATTTTAAACATAAATTCTAGTTAAATTGATTTATCATTTCTTTATTATTCTTAATATTATGCTTATTTAATTTTCGTGTATTATTTTTAAGATATAAAATTATATTGTCATCTTCAACTCATATTCGTATCTTATATTTTCAATAATTGACATGTCATATTCTATGTTTATGTTGTGTCGTGTACATGTCCTGTTTGTATCTCATTCTTATAATAACTTACTTTCCGCTAACTACTTTGAAACATTCTTTTTTTTATCATGATAAAATGGTAGAAAGAAGATATTGTTTTTAACAATTTTCTACTGTTCATGAATATGGATGGTTTCTTTATTATCCAGGCGTCAAATGAAGCACTGAGGTTTACTTACTCGCAGAAGTTTTTTGTTTAGCTTCTCTCTTAAAATTACTTGTATAACGCTAGTGTTTTTAACGGGAAAAAAACCTAAAGATGCTTGTGATTGTCTGGAGAAAGCCCGAAATGATTTTTTTTGGCAAAAGTAAATATTAAAAAATCATCAAAACAGTAAGCATCAAACTTAATGCTTTTTTAAACCAATATATTTGTGAATCAGACACATTACCCTCTCTAGTTTTGATTGAACTATTTGCTTTATCTATGTCCTGTGGATTTCCATTATTTATATACAGTACCGCTGCTTTAGATGATTTGGTCACATAAAACAACGGCCTTTCGATAACTGGATAGGAAATTAGAAGTATTAAATTTGACTTACGTTAAGAAAGGTAGAGGTAGACCTAAAAAGACTTGGTTAGAAAATATTAGAAATGATTTTTTTTATTAGATTTAAACGAGAATTTGACTTTTAACAGGACCTAATGGAGAAAAAGTATTCATGTAACCGACCCCACTTAGTGGGACAAAGGTTTGATGTTGTTGTATATACAGTACAACTGCTGTGCATAATTTTTTTTAATCATTTTTTTATGTTAATCTTCCCTACGATCTACAAAATAAATGAAATTTACATTTTCCTACGATATTACTGTCCTTTGAACTCCATTTCCAAACATAAAATTCATGAATCACTTAATGAAGTGCCTTTTTTTATTTATAATGGGGTATGTTTGATCCGAATGAGAAAACAAACTGGTGTTTGTAAAATAAGCTTTGGCCTTGGACTCTTTTTTTGCCAAGGATTTGCCCTATTTTTGGTTATATTTCACCTAATGTTCTCATAACCCTATTGTTCTTATTACTCTGTTCTTGATCAGGAAAAGCAAACATGATGAGTTCTACTTCTTGTTTGGTTTCATAAAACTGCTAAAGCTGCCATTGATCTCTCTTAGAGCTAAAGGCATAGGAAATTGTACTGATGATGAGGATTGAGGAAGAAGCCATTTTTCTATTTGTGCTCACTTTCTATAAGAAAATCTGCATTGCATGGCTTAGCATTTACTTCCAAGAAATTTGAAGCAGATTTCCTATCTTTTAATAAAAGAGAACTCTGGAGGAACAATTCAAGCATTGATTAACTAAACTGCAGGAGTTGCAGAAGTTGGCATGAGAAGCTCTCATATGATCCTGCATTGTCTGTTTATTAGTCCAATTTTTATATTTGTATGGTTATGATCCAAATTTTTTATGTTGCGAATGTTTTTAACAGTTGAGATATCGATGGAGGCTTTATATGAAGTGCTTATTTATTGCTTCTTAAAATAATTTTTTAATATGAAAATTTTAATTAAAAAAACTATCCTTAATATTTCAGAAAAAGTAATTTATTTTATAAATGCTGAAGTTATAATGAAGGAGGTAGTTTAGGCTTCATTTTGAGCTATTGTCACTTTTAAAACAAAAAATTATACTATAAAATTGATTTAAAAAAATTAAAAATATTATACTAAATAAAATATAAGCACCTATGATACAAAAGTTTCATTTGAGAAATATTTTTTTATTACTTTTTAATAATAATTTTTTAGATTTTAAAATTAGAAAAAAAAAAAGTTGTGGCCTTCACAAATTGATGAGCTTAATTTTCTTTTTAAAAAAATAGAAGAATATTCTCCTTATAAATAAGAGATTTATGTATCTTATAAGATAGTTAAAAATCTTAGTATTAATTATTAATAAAATTATATATATATATAAAGTACAAATGCATAACACAAGAATAATTTTACTAAACAAAAATGAAAAACAATAAACATTATTGAAAAAAAAAAATTTACAGCAAGTAGTCACCTTTAGATAACAGCTCAAAACTAAGAGATATTATTACGTGCAGATACCGAACACAGAAAACCGTTTGGATTTGTCTCTGTAAACAGTAAAAACTCAATGGTGAACAGTAAAAGCTCAATTTGTTGCACTTTTACTATTCACAGAGATAAACTGAACAGCTCTCTATGTCCGATCTCCGCACGTAATAATTCATCTATAACTAAGAAGGTAAGCAACATATAAAAAGCTTATGAGAGTCCGCATATACCAACATACACAGGAGAGTTATAGCACATTGCATATCTGACCAAAAAACAAAGACATGGAAATCCAATATGCCTTTCTAACATCTATGGATTAAATTCCATGATTATAAGAATACAGTTGTGAAGAACAATTATGATTCTGGGGCAGTCTCAAATCTTGTGGGGGTATCAATTCCCATCATGCAACAAAGGCCTGATATCAGAATTATGAGCAGCACAATCCCCTGAAAGTTCAAATCATACAGACCAAATCAATAAGCAGCTTTTTATATAGCTATTACGCTCTAGCAAACATAATCGTAAAAAGTTACTTTACATATAAAAATTCATGAAAAACAGCAAGAAAAATGTTATAAAATAGCACTATGAGTCATCTAGAAAGCAAAATTACGAAAAAGTTGCCTCAAATGAGAGAAATTATTCTATGCAGTCACCAGACTGTCCGGAAGCGAATCAAAATGTTTCACGTCACCCGGTACACAACAAAAAAATAATGTAGCACGTCCTGATTCGCCTCCAGACGGCGTCCAGTAACCGCACTGAATGATTTCTCCTCAAACTGACCCCTTAGCAGCTGAGTGATAACAAAGTCAGCATGCAAAGCGCCATTAATTGAACAAGGAAACACTTAAGAATAGTTACTTATCTTTGAAAGTTGTGACAGAAACAAAGGAACTCAGAGCCATTAAGCAAAATCACACAACAAAAAGATAACTTACCACAAATAAGCCCTCCAAAAGAGATGATTTTAGTTGGCAGACTCCATCGCAATGAGTCGAATTGGTGGAAGAATTGTCTTCAGCAAGAAATCTCATTTCCATGTGTGAAGGATATGGATACAACCTATATGGATCAGAAGCATAAAGAACTGTGTATGTTGAACCAGACTTCTCCAACAAATCAACAATTTCAGATAAAACCTTTCCTGTAGAATTAAGAACACTCTTGGGGTTAAAATCAGTTCTAGGAAGCCATGGAAGAAAATGTTTGACAGTACAATTCACCTTCTGATACAGTATAGACTGATTCTTCAGATTTTTCCCCACAGAAAACAATCAGATCAGTCAACTTAGTTTCCCCTGATTTCATCTTTGTACTCACGTAATCCTGTAATTTTATGCATGAATGCAAGAATTTTTTTCTTTTTGCTGCTAAAACAAAAGTGTACAAAAGTTGGTAAAACAAAGACAAACTGATTCTAGAACTTCACCTGAAGTGAATGCAATCCTCCAAGTTTTTGAAGGTTTTGACCCTCCAAAGAACAGGATTCCATGTAAGCAATATTTTTCACTCCCAAATCATGCCCACAATTTTCAATGAATCCTGAGATTAAAGAATTTTCTAGCGTGTCCTTTTCACTAGATAAAGCTATGTATGGAAACGCTACAGAAACATTGGAGCTCTTGAATGATTGCTGATAAAAAAAATAAAAAAAAAATATTGTAACCTTTCCCAGAAAAATAAGGTACAAAAAATAGGAAAGTTCACAAATCTACTTAGTACCTTTAATAAGTCGATCAGAGCAGGATCCCGCTGGTTGCTTCTAGTGATGTCCGCTGTTCGTAACTACAATAGAGAAACTAAGTCAACTTAAACGCTGCAGCAACAACAACAACATCAAGCCTTTGTCCCATTACGTGGGGTCGGCTACATAAATCCTTTTTCTCCATTATGTCCCATTAAAAGTCCAATTCTCGTTTAAATCTAATAAAGAAATATCATTTCTAATATTTTCAAACCAAGTCTTTTTAGGACTACCTCTACCTTTCCTAACACAAGTCAAATCTAATACCTCTACTTTACTAACCGGTTCATCGGAAGGCCGCCACTTTATGTGGCCAAACCATCTAAGGCGACTCACTCTAATCTTCGAGAGAGAGAAATAATGGGTAGCAAAACAGTTGAACTCTAGATAGCATCATTTATTTGAAATAGGAGCTTAGCTTAATAGTTTTTGACATGTCAGGAAAGTTTCAATTTTAGAGCTACTTTCTCTACTTTAATTACCATTTTAATTACTATCAAATAAAGTACTTAAATAAACCTACAAACATTTTATATAAGATTACAAATGCAAAAAAAAAGTCTATAAATGATTTGACAATATAGAATGAACAAGAAGTCTTCAATAAGTAACTTTACAAAATAGATGAAAATTACTCTAATATGGCTCAGTTCTACTCTTCTTTGACAATGAGATATATATCAGCTGCAGTAATTGTTCAACCAACGAGGAAAGTCACCTTGCAAAGTGTCACCAGGCCAAAGGTAGACTAAATGTACCTTTTCTTTCTTTAATAAGACGTCCAACAATCTAGACACCACTCTAGACTTCAACCTTCCCACAATTTACACCAAGCAAACACACATTCAAGACAAAGAAAACGCCCAATATTTACAATAATTAACACTGACAACCTTTTATTTGCAAAAAAACTAATTTTGAAATGGGGTTCATAACACGTGTCCAACATAATTTTTTCAATTTACAAGCACACCTGCATAATTCGCATATCACACTTACAATATACATGCGTTATGACAATTAACCTCCTTTACACATCTTTACGATGACATTGATCTCAACCACAACCAAGTGGTTTTTATTGAATGATCGAGGGACCCATAAATAAAACAATCTTGGTAACATACATTTCAACGGCGAATAGCACGCCATGGTGCAAAGTATGCCGTAGAGCCATGCACATAACGCATGGCACGACCCGCACCATTTTGAACATGGCACAATATTAAAGAAATTGACAAACTTGATAGCTTCCTCAACTCTCAAAAAAAGTCATTTGGATCACACTCTCTAACTCAAAATGGTATGACTTCTAAATCTTATTATTTCAATGTCTTCAATAATTCCCCTCACACCTAAATCCAATATTCAAGAGCCACTGATCACCTGATCAAGCTTGTCAACCTTTTTCAAACCTACAAACTCTACCCCCACAACAAACAAATAAAAAAGACCAATGATTCTCTAACAACAGTTAAGAGTTCAAAGAAATAGTTCAATTTTATCCATATTTATACTAAGTAATTTACAACATGTTCCTCATTTTGCAGTAAATTTTCTATTAATTCATAAAATCACTAAAGCTGACAAGTGAAAGATAACTTTTTTAATCGTTTTATATTTCAGGGCCTCACTACAAATAGCTGGAAAAGCCGGTAAAAAGGATAAACCATATCTTCTTAAAGATGAAAATTATTTGCCAAGTTCTTTTATTTTCATTCTCAACAAAAAAGTCATTTGGAAATATCATTATAAAATAGGGCATCCCTCTTTCAAAATCTGACAATGTATGTTTTCTTTTCTTTTTTTTAATGTAAACATAGAAAATTTTACTTGTGAAACTAGTGAAATTGTCAAACATCAACATGTTATTTTTCCTAAAAGTGATTTTAAATCCTCTGCTCCTAACCTAATTATTCATTTTGATGTTTGGGGAGCTTCCAAAATCTCAAATAATTTTGGAACTACAATATTTGCCAACTTTATTAATGATTGCACTCAAATGATATAGGTATATCATATCAAACAAAATATATATTGTCAGCATTATTCTCCTCATTTTTAGTGCTATGATACAAAATTAATTTAATACTAACATTAAGATACTTCAGACTGATAATATTTGTGCTTACTTTATTTGAAACACTTGAAAACAAGGATTGGAAGAATGCCATGAGAAGAAATAAATGTTGTATAAAAAAATCACAAGTAGGAGATCGTTGAACTATCATAAAGAAAAAAAAAGGATGCAGATACATTTTTTTAACAAAATATAGAGCAGATGGAAGTCTGAAATGGTATAAAGTGAGATTAGTAGTCAAAATATATATTTAATTCAATGGAAATGACTACCAAAAATCTTTTTGCTCATAATATAGAAATAAATACAATACCACATAGCCTCCGCCTCCTAACGTAGGACCCACACGCCTGCAAAGTATGGTAAGAAACCTTTGGGCACAAATTAAGGTTTTTAATCATTAGATTATCTAACTCAATGCTCTAGAATTGCAATTTGTATGCCCCATAGCCACCTGCCCCTTTAGGAGCTATTCTCCTTACTTTATTTGTATTTTAAGTACTTAACTTTGACTTAATTCCATATGTAAGACACTTGAAAAAGTCTTTGTATACCTCTAATTTTTGTACATGAAGCAATAAAAATTTCTACTCATTTCATATCTATCAACTTTTTCTACAATCCGCAACTAATCTCAACAAAGACTCCTCACTTGCATTTGCTAACACCAATTACGTGCACACAATACCACCGTTTGACCATATCTATAATTGCATGCATGTCACTTGCACGCATTTCTGTGATTGCACGTACGCCACCTATACAAGTTTCTGCAACTACACACACGCACTTGCATACATCTATGTGATTGCATGGACACACGCCACTAGCACACATCCAAATAAAACACAAAATTGGATAAATGACCATCCAATTGTTCCCACTAACTGAAACATCCTTGCACAAGCACTGCAATATGTGTTATATACACCTTCGAATTTGGATATACATATTACTATCTCACACAACCATTAATATGCGAATAATGTTCGCACACACCACTTGCCACCAACAAAACTCTGCAAGTACATGCAATTGCCATTCACACCCACTTGCGAGAATACACTACTAGCATCAGTCACCACAAAAACATGATTCACAGCACCTTGTCCTGCTTTATTTCTTTCAGACTTTAAAAAAGGTTGCAAGGCATTCACCCAATATCTAAGTTCGTAGCCACGAGGTTAAAAGTGCCACTCAGTTCATAGTTTATCTCCCTTGTATGTTTTCTCTTCTATAAGGAAAACATTAAAATGGTTGTAACTTGTAACACTAGCCAAATATCTTATAAAAGCTTTCAGTAATGCAGGAAAATAGATACCTTATTTGACCGAAATGCCATCAATTTTTTATAAAAAAATAGATAGATGCATGGATAAATATGTTATACCGTCCTAAGAAATACTTCTGCGTAAAAATCCAATGAAGTACAAAACTTTAGAAATTTGATACAAATAAATATAGATGTGAATCATTACCTCTTTCCCAATAAAAACAAGAGCTACATCAACATTTTGATGAAGGTTCTCCCCAGAACACTAGCAAGCAAAGCAAAGTTGAACAGATAATAGATGAAGCAAGTACTTCTGATCTCCATTGAAATGTATATTACAAAATAATAGAAAACTTATCAATAGATGGAGAAACAAGTGTAAATCTTTTTTGGAGGGGAAAGTTACCATGAAGCTTGACCATCCACCTTCAGACAGAACAAATTTAGCTAAACTATTTGGTGAGATGGTTTGGTAATTTACAGCTTCTTTAGCACTATCCTGAGAGGATCTGCACATACCAACCATTATATTTTACTCAATTCAGTGTCTCTGCAATTACAAAACCAAGAAAAAAAAACGAACAAGAAGGCCGTTGTCTTATAACGAAAGAGTGCTTGGAGAATCAAGGAAGAGAATTATATATGAATTTCTCTAATACATCTGCAATGTTTCAGCATCACCAAAAAAAAAAGCTAGTAAGGTCTATATGAATATGTTAGTTCCATGCTTTATGTTTTCTAAGGATTTGTTTGAGACAGCTATAGTTTTTAATAAAGATGGTTATACAACAATTATGAGGAAAATAATTTTTTTGATAGTTGCTACAAGTACTATAAATATTTCAACTTTTTTTAAAAAATCAGACAACAATTTTCTGACAGTTAACGAGCTGCAAAAAGCAGCTTACCACCATAAAATCTTTTAAAAAGCAGCAAAAGAAGAAGCAGTGAAATGAAAGTGTGGCAACAATCTCAAAAGCAAAACAAAAAAAAAAATAACCCAAACAAACCCTAATACCTCACCACAAATGATAAGAAAAACAAAATCCTAACAGGTTATGCAGCATCCTTCAACTCATAAAAGGACTTCCTTCTAAGAGCTGCTATCAGGACAAGTGTAGAACCTTATAGAGATAACGAGGTTTCCCGTGAACTAAAAGAAGGTATACGCGCCAGAATATGGTTCAAGTGGACATTAACAGCCTATCCACCTTGATCTCGTTCCTTAAAATCAACCATAATGACCCTTTATATTCGCAAAAACACATTGGGTTCGTATGTTTAAGACCCACCAGCTAATAACTAAAAGAGACCATTAAAAAGTTTCAAGAAGGTTTTCTTTAGATAAATTTATATAAAATTAAGGGCAGTCCTGTGGCACAAATATGAGGTTTGAATAATTTTAAAAATACTTGAATGGAAACATTAAGAAAATTAAGGATTAGCAAAGGTAAGTCTCAATAAAAGGGATGACATATGCATTTCCCTTCTTTTCAACAGATGTTTAGATACATGTGATTTAAAATAACCAAAGATGCCATAAAAAATATTAAATTTCAGAAACAATGAGACCTGACGGTAGAATATTTTGAAGATAAAGTAGCAAAAATTATACTTTTTAGGTTATTTAAAATGTGCAGGTATGGAAGATGCATATTAAAATAGATAAAAATGATTAAAGTTAAAGGATTATAAATGAAAAGAGATAAGTTGAAGGTGACATGGCACAATCTATATGAATGAATGGAGAAGAAAAGTACATAAAGCTGACCGCAAATAGTTAGGGTAAAGCTAATGAAGTTATCAAGTTAATAATGATAATGGATCTGATAAAAACTGTTGAGCTAGATAATAATGAATGAAAAATGCAAGATAAACTTATTAGAAGTTGACTATGAACTGTTAGATTTTTAGTGGACTAAACAGCAATAGTCTAATGGATTACTCTCCTAAAAACGCTAGTGGATAATGTTCCATCAAAAGAGAAAACTATAAATATATACAACATATAATGTCTTTAGAAAAATGTCTTATTTCCAAGCATGATGCATCATAGCTGAGGTTACATACCGGCTTATGATCATTGGACATAATATATCAAAATGCAAAAGAATTCAAAACTAACCATTTCATGAAATATGACAATGTTAATCTTTAGAACTTGACATATTATATTACATATTTACATCCGAGTTTCATATGCTCTTTCTATACAATAGCCCTAATATATCTAAAAAGAAAACTAATCATTATCATAATTAGCCTTATCCCAACTATTCGGAGTTGGCTTTATGAATCATTTTACATTCATTATTATTGTGTGTTGTTTGGGGTATCTAATCTATTCTTCACAAATCACCTGGATTACTTTGATTTATCTTACATTAGATCTACCCTTTCACCATCATAATTCTCAATTACTATATGTTTACTTGATTAATGGGTGTATATTTCAAATTTCATTCTACATGTCCAAACCACTTAAGTTTATTTTAAATTACCTTATAGTCAATAAATTAACTCCAAACATCAGTATAATATAATCATTCAATAGGTTGCCATTTCTATTTTACCTCCAACATCTTAACATTCTCTTTTGCTACCCATTTAACTTAATTATTAACGACTTTCAAAATGCCCAACACTCATAACCATACAACATCGTCAGTGTAATTGGAGTTTAAGAGAACTTATATTAAAGTTTCTATGATATCCTCTTGTTACATAGTACTCTAGAGGCACTTTTGAAGTAGAATGAGTTCATCAAACTGAATTAGGCTTTATCTATCCATTTTACAGGGCTTTGATTGCAACTTCATCAATGTATTCTCATGATAGACTACTTTAACCGAATATACTAACATGTTGAGCTGGTCGAAATATAACAACAGAAGCAACAGAAGACCGTGCATTTATGGAAGATCACTGCCGAAGGATTCAAGGAAAAAAAACTGCAAGTAGAAATCAGTACCCGTGCTTGAAACGCGACCAGAGAAAAGCAGGAACAGTGGCGGGTGATGAACAGACATGGAGCAGTTGAGCAGCCAGCAGGGCAAAACCCAAAAAGATCGCCTTAATTCCCACCATCTCCTGCAAGCAGCTCTAAGAAAACAAACAACGTCCTGTATGAATCAAGATAACAGGTATCCAGACAAATCCCTCTCGAAATCAACTAATAGTAATTTAAACTAGTTCAAGGAAAACAATTGACAAAGACGATTCGTTGCTAGCAGGTCTTCGGAAATATACTGCGGATCTACAGCCGCTACGTCAAATTAATGAAAATCACAAGAATTCAACGTAGACAGAAGTTAAATGGGGAAAAGCTGAAATCTTTGGGAGGTGGACACGAGAGTGAGACATAGCGTGATGAATAACTACAGAAGGAAAAGAGGGAGGAAGAAGCACGGGCTCTCGAAGAGGATCGCACCTGGGAGGCTGGGAGAAAGCTGACCTTGTTCTGTAGGAGGATTAGGGTTCCTATCGCTCCAAGCAGCAAAGATCGCGTTGCGTCGCTCAACTGCCTATTTACCTCCTCTCGGCGCCACGGACATAATCGAGGGCCCGTGAATGTTGCGATTAACGGTGCGGTAAAAATGTGATTTTTATTTCATTAAGATCAAACGAAAGGCAAATTTAGCTGATAATTACTCTAAAAATTATTGTCAATTTTTTCGCTAGATTCCCACATAATAAATTTTATGATATAGTTTGTAGTTGATCCTACAAAATAGTTATGAGTAATGGAACTTTTGAATCCATGGAGAATGTTAGTATTAATAGCAAAACGCTTAAGAGTTAGCATGTTGAAGAATGTTAATATTAGTCTTCGTTTATGACGACTTTCTTAATGCTTATTCAAACAATTTTTTAGTACAAAAATTAAACTTTTGTATTAAAAAGAAGTTTTAAAAAGCAATAAGTAAATCTTCCCAAACGAAGTCTTGATTTAATATTGAATGTAGCTAACTCGAAAATTAGAGCTTCATCATCACTAATGTTGTAACTTCTTCTTTTTTTCTTTGTTGTTTTTACTGATAATTCCACTTTTTCTTTCAAATAGCACGATAATGTCGTCTCTACACTATCATATTTTTGTTAGTTTCTAAACTCCGAAGATTTTTTGCACAAGTTAAAAACTCATCATATTTGTAATTTTCCACTAAATTTAACATTATTGTTGTTTAAAAAAAAAAGTCATCATGTCATGTCGTGTTTAATTAGTTTGATTAATAGTTGACTATTTGTTCAAACTAGAGTATTATTATATTGATATTCTTTTATATTATCCTTTTTATTTAGGGCTTCATAAATGTAAACTTCAAGCAGTGTAATTAGTTTATACTTTTTTAATGAGATGGACAAAGAGATATATTATATTGCACTAGCATCATGCATGGATTCAATATTTTCAATTTGAATAAATTATTAGTTTTCTTCTTGATTGTTTATAAAATTAAATTAAATTATTAGCCATGTCAATTGCATTGATTTTAAGTTCCATTGTAGTGGGTATTTTAAAGCTACATTATATTTCATTTTTAAGGGTTTATAAAATATTAGATTACATGATTGATGTTTATTAATTCGATAATGATTTGAATTTGTGTCAAATTTATGTTTTGAGCGAAGGAGGGCTCTATTACAACTTATTTTCAATCAAGTAACGAGTGATAGATGAGATGCTGCCCATGTTAACTAGTTGGTTGAGAGCTAAGACTTTCGATTAAGATTTCTTCGATTTGTGGTCTTACATATATTTTGTTTATGGGTGTTTATGATTAAATTTGATTAATGTCTCAAGAAATAAAAATGTACAAGAAAGTTACTCGTATCATTAAGAGGGATTGCTCAAGCTATTAAATTGTCGATGTGATGTAAAGTTCCTCCCATGTAAGCTTCATATATCACTTGTAATTGCGAGACATAAGATCACAAAAAAAAAAAAGAGTTTCTTTTTTGGATAGGTGAACAAATAATTGCAAAGATCAACAACCAGTAGTTAACTTGAGACATGAATGTGGCCCAACAATGTGGAGGAGGAGACCCCAACCACGATGTTGTTGTTAGTTTTAATTGGGAGGTGCAAATGAGTGAAATCAACTTGCGAGCCTGCTCAATCTTGACTCTATAACAAGCTCATGAGTCAAGTTTATTGAGTTTCGAGCTCAGACCCAAGCAGATTTATGGGCTCATTGGGTAATCGAGCTCAAGTTCGATTGAGTTGTTGCTCGACTCGTGGACTCGTCGAGCTGCTCGAGTGCGGAAACATAAGGAGGAAGGAGGAAAGCATAACAATGAGGGCGGAAGGATAAAGTTGTAGCGCCTACCTGAAATTGGAAGTGCATGGAACTGCGGGTGCGAAATCGAAAGTGGGCTTAGATGCGGAAGCGAAAGCATGCTTGGACCCATAAGAAAAAGTGCATACGCGAAATCGCCACACCGAAGCAGGAACTGAGACCGAAAGCGGAAGCCTTGCGAGCCCAAGCTCGAGCATGCAATTCAAGCTAAAGTTAAGCATGACTCAAGATCGACTTGACTCATTTGCACCCCTAGGTAGTTTAATATAAAAGGGTTTTTACCTTATTGTTTTCTTGCTAGTCATCTTAAGAATTTGATCTCATACAACTCGAATGTTGAGAGAGAGTAAAAGTAGTAAAATATGATTTTTCTTATCACATATCATATATCTATGCTCTTTTTCTTGACAACATATCTTATTTTCATATTTAACTTGTTCTTTCCATTTTGATTTGTATCTAAAATATCGTTGTTATCTTATCAATTTGATTGAGATCACTAAAATACTCTCATATTTCTTAACAATATTCATTTTTATTTTTAGTTATGAATATCAAGAGAATCATATGATGAGCTAATGACATCATTGAACAATCATTCTTCAAATATGTTAAGTGTAGCATTCATAGTAAATTTGTAGAGGTGATTAAGATTTTATTTGTGATATTTTTTTATTGGTTTCTAAAGTATTTTCTATTATAAAAATTTATAGTTAAAAATATTTTTTTACTAAAAAACTACTTTAAAAACAGTAAAAAAGTCGTCCTAAATAGAACCTAACTCAATCACTTTCTTTTTTCTGATAGCATAATAAGAATAAAATATTGTAAATTAATTACTGCAATCAAATACTTTTTTATCATAACAATAACACAATAAAATCATATATAATTTTGTTATATAATTAAACCCAAGTTATTTACAGATTTTTTTTATTTTTGTTTCCTGCTTCTGTCTCCTGGTATTGATGATGCTTTTGTTTGATTATAGTAAAAAATTTATACTAATCAAATCTTAAATCAGATTTAATTGAGCTGTAAGAAAAAAATTGTAAAATTTAATAGAGGGCAGTATAAAAATTCTTTTTTTATTGGTTGGCAACTTGGCACTCCTCACTCTCTTAGGAGTGTCAAAACTAGGAGAGATTATTACGTGTGATGATCTGATCGGAGGCTAATCGGGACAAGTCATACACCCGATATATATCAATACACAGTAACGATACAAAACGTATAGGTGATTTGACGCGTCCTGATTGTCCTCCGACAATGTCCTTTCGCCAAAACTAGTTAATGGATTGAGTTGGAGTCTGATCTGAAAATTGTAAGATCCGAATATGATCAATCGGAACTCGTGTTTAATAAATAGCTCAAAAATATGTATCAAAATCTGATCCATTAGCATCATGTATGACCCAAATTTGACTTGAAAACTTATTTATATTAATATAATTATAAACTTTTAATCATAATTTTAGATTAATTTATTAAATATAAGAATATTATATCAATAAAAAAATATTTAAGAAAAAAATTAAACGAGTCACTATCAAATTAAAATCATGTTACCGGGTCCACTTGAATCAACCCATTTAATAAATGGGTAGAAATGTTAAACCCATTTATTAAACCGATAAACCCAAATTCGATTTTTTTTTTTTTTTTGGATCGGGTCAATAACGGGTGGCGGATAGGGTCATTTATGGTCATTTGTACGAGCTACCGATTGCAGTTTTTTAAAGAACCCCCCGTTTATCTACATAATTAAGAAAATACCAACGGCTTCCGTGCGAATAATCACAGCGGCAACATTTATACGGTGGGAAAAGCTGCTGCAAACGTCCAAAAGAGCGTCAAATCGTCGGAAGCGTAAGCATCGAAGAGAAGTCTGCAAGTGGGAAAATCCCATGGATTCGACGTTTGGAACTTTAAAGCAACTGCAGCTGATTTTTTGACCTCAAAAAA